TACGTGTGGTTGATCAGATCCAAGCCTGATGCAGGCAGTTAGCGAGATCGCGCTCTCTCTCTAAATAAATAAATGATGGGCATCTGTAGCTTTCACTCCAGATTGAAGCCGCTGAGTGGATGGTGTCAATCTCATCGTTGTCTTTTGGGTTTAGCTGAGAGCTGTTAGCGCTCGATTATGTTTTAAGTATGCACCAGGGAGAGGACTGCACAATCAATTCTCTCTGTATTTCTCTTTGTGGCTTTATTGCTGCACTGAAAGCGTCCTGTAAACCGCCTGTCTTCTCGTCTTCTGCCTGTGCACCCACTTAATTCCAGTTATGAACATGACAAATTGAATGCGTGAGTCAAAAAAAGACAATCGTTGTTTGCAAAAACTGTAAGCAGTATGAAGTTTTAAATGCTAGGACAGAGATTGCATTAGCCCAAAATGACTTTTATTTTACATCTTGATTTAAAATGACCCGGCGGTGTTTGCATGCATGAAGACTGGCATATTTCTCAACTACTCGCAGCAGGTATAATTTGTCCTGCATTGGGACTGTTAGACTAGTTGGATGGCTATATTTCTAATATAGGCTATTCTTCACAAGCAAAATTACAAAGTAAAAGTGAACCACAAAGGTGCTAACCATATGCTAAAACCACATATGGAAACCACCGCCAGGGTTTTCTGTGATCGTGTGTTGCCATATAGAGTGGAAATGGACATCAGTTTGGGCATTTAGTGGATATTCTCACGTTTGAATGGTTCCCAACCCATTTTTGGTCAATGCTCCATCCCTTGTCGTCAGACTTTCTCTTTCTGTCCTCTTCCTTTGGTTGTCTACCCATCAATCTTTGCTGCGGAAGTAGGGCTGCACGATATATCGTTTCAGCATCGATATCGCGATGTGCGCACCTGCGATAGTCACATCGCAGGATGTGCGATGTTTAGTATAGGCTTCTATCATTATATTTATACTGATTGTTTTCTTTGCTCACACACAGACACTGTGTCTACACCGGATGCGACAGCTGTACAGAGATACCCATTTTAAATACGTTTAGTAGAAGAGCTACTGCACGATTTTGATTTTCAGTGCTGGAAATCCGTTTATCCTTTGTTGAAACTTCCGCGTCGTCATGGAGAGCGCAGGTCACGGTCACTTAGCAACGGCAGACGCCACGAAAGCGCAAGCTCCCGAGCACTTTGGAAAGAAGGAGAAAGTGGCGTGACTGGAGTTTTTCCACGTGTTTTTAAGCGTGACATGTGAACGTCCCCAAAGTCTGTCTACACTAGACGCGACCAAGCGACCATTGCATATCATTTGAACTTTGTGTCAGTACATCATAAAGAGAACGCGGCATCAGTTTACTGTAGGGGATTTGTCGTGTCGTGCCGTGCCGCAGCCAGTGTAGACACTCACACAGCATCACTGATTATAATGGGTTCATAGTATTTTGTTGCGCCGCGCCACTTGCGTCCAGTGTCGACACGGTGAGAGCCACGCAGATGCACGTGAACACTAAAATCTGTTCACGTCTGCGTCTATTTGTGCCTGAAATACTGTGCTCTACAAGTATCCTTGTAAACACAGTGGCTTATGGCTTAGGTGAAGGGAAACAATTGAGAAAGAAAATGGATGTGTAACAGTAGCCTATATTGGTTTACAGCAGTTTAATGTTCCGGAGGCTTTCTGTGTTATGAATATTAATCAAACAACAAAACACAAAGAAAAATCGCTTTTGTAGCTTTAACACAGATTTATTAGATTTAATTTATAAGACTATGCAGTGTTATTTTACATTTGATTGTTCAATTTCTGTACCTGAATACTGTTAGACTTACCTGAAAAATATAAAGCACTGCTTATTTCATTTGTATCTTTGTTCTGTTCTATTTATCTATGCTTGTAATATGCTTGTTTATTTCCTATGCTGATTTACTCGTCTACAAAATCAGCCCTATCAATATTTTTTTTCCCAAATAAACGATTCAAGTCATGTTTATAAGACTATGCAGTGTTATTTTACATTTGATTGTTCAATTTCTGTACCTGAATACTGTTAGACTTACCTGAAAAATATAAAGCACTGCTTATTTCATTTGTATCTTTGTTCTGTTCTATTTATCTATGCTTGTAATATGCTTGTTTATTTCCTATGCTGATTTACTCGTCTACAAAATCAGCCCTATCAATATTTTTTTTCCCAAATAAACGATTCAAGTCATGTGGTGATTTTTTTGTTTTTTTGTTTTTTTCATATCGCAGAAAAATAAAATATCGCAATGTGAGTTTTTTCCAATATCGTGCAGCCCTAAGCGGAAGGATGTTGCACTCTCCGTTTCCTCCAAACCGCAGTTTTGAGTCTGTTCTCTTGCAGATATTTGGTCCCCACCTTCCCTCTCACATTTGACTGCTGTTGAAAAGGATGTTAGCCAATGCAGAGAATATGAATACAAGCACCATGCTTTCCTTTTGGAACAAATTTAATTGAAAGCTGATCTGTTGTGACAGTCTCAACATAATGTGATGCTTAGGGATGCACAATATATGTTATCAATTATCAGCTAATATTATGGGCTATTGTAAAGATTATAATATTTTATTCTGATTTAATATCACTTAATTTTATGTAAATCTATTAATAATTATTAAATCGGTATGTTTTCATATTAGATATCTATCAGCCAATATTTGTGTTTTTAGATATTTTCTTTCATCTACAGATAACTTAAAGGGATAATGTTTGATTACAGCAAAGATTTAACCCTTTACGGGCACTATTTTTTGGAGAATATTTTTCACATTTAGAGGTTTTATTGTTGTTGTTTTTTTGTTTTGTTTTTTTGCAGAAAATTAAAACAAACAACTAAAACAATAAATGTTTGTGTTTAGCATTTATTATTATTATTATTAATAAATTTTTTCAGTGTCTATCCATATTGGATATTTATTCTTCCTATTTTTAGATTTTTACATGCTTTTGCTTTTCCTTTCATCTACAGATAGCTTAATATCTACAGTTAAATGTATTCGATTTCAGAGATTTAAGAGCACTATTTTATGAGAATTTTTCCATTTAGAGGACTTGCTCATTGCTCTTGGTGAATTAATATTTTCCAACAGCATTGTTTATAGACATTAAAAAACAATGAAATTTCACATTTTGTTGTTTAAATTAAGTAGGGATGCACGATATTAGATTTGTGCAGATATCCGATATGCTGATATTTTTCAACTCATTTTGGCCGATAGCCAATACCGATATATTTCCTTTTGTTTGGAAACAACTCCAAGTCTCTCCTGTGCAGAAATTATAAGCAAATCCTTTTTATTTTTGGCTAGTTTTTAACAAGAACTTATTTGTTAGAATTAAAAAACAACAATGATGTTCTTTTATAATGACAGTACATTGAAGATTTGAAAATAACCATAAATAAACTATATTCAATCACTGCATTTTTTATTTTATTTTTTCCAGAAAGATGCAGTGGTAACCTTAACATTTTATTTTAAGATTTAACATTTGTAAATGGTCTAAAGCAAGAGTTGTAAAACTTCTGAAAATCTTTTAGAGCTCATAATTTGCTTAAAGAAAAACATATTACACATTAATGAATAAATCAGTGTATATATAAAATTATTTAATTTAAGTGACATGTTCGTGTTTTTATTTCATATAAGCTATAACTTCTGAACTTTAAATCAAAACATACTCATGATTTTATGGCATCAATTACGGCTTTATTTAATCGGAAACACAGTCTAAATATTATTTGTGTATTTTGCTTTCATTTTATTAGAAGTAGGCCAACAGCGCCCCCTACAGAATTAAAACTCCTAACGTTCTGCATTAGGACCCCTGTTTAGTCTATCACAGGGACGCAGGAAGTAGGGGTGCTGAGGGGGCTGCAGCACCCCCTGTTTTCACATGGTTGCAAATGCAACGCCAAGTTTGTTCATTTTTAATTTATTCAGTTTTAGCATTTAATAATGATCTCTGAAATGTAAATTGTAAGTGGGCTATAATAAACCCATGTTTATTTTTATAAATTAATTTTACTTGTGATGTTTTCTATATGGGATGATTAGTCTAATCCTCATGAACACGTGACGCTGGCGCTTGGTATCAGACATGAACTGTACAGACCCCCCCTTCACCTAACACGGGACACACACAGTACCCCCAACCAAAAACATCTTCCCGCACCCCTGGTCTATCACACACCAAACGGGTCATTCTGTACGTGTATTCTCAAATTAAATGCAGCGATCCAAAACAGTGAATCTAATCATCATTCAGGCAAAACTTTGCTTCAAGAATGAGCCACACTGCTGACATGATCTAATCGCTAGCACACCCTGAGCATATGTGAGTTAATGTATTCCTTTTATCGGCAAGAGATATCGGCATATTTTTTTTTCATATTGGGCCGATGCTGATATTTACATTTCAAGCCATTATTGGCCGATTCTGATATTGATCCGATAATATCGTGCATCCCTAAAATTAAGAGCTGCAATACTGGACAAAGATGAAACTGTTTTTCATGCATTTCGTGGAATTGAGTATGTAATACTTCGTATCTTTAATCAGATTGGTGGTTGTCTGAAGCCTAAACTGAAAAAGCCTCAGTCCACATACACATTTAGCATCCAGTCAAATTCAAACACCTCACCACACACAATTTTTTCCATCTTCACACATGTTGTGATGCTCAAATAAGATAACTGACCAGAATGCTGGTGGTTAGTGCTGGGCCTTAGCTCGATTACTCTTGCATTACACTTTCACACAGATGTTTGAACTCTCCAATGCTGCTGTGATGTTTAGCTTTCTTGATAGCGGTCTTGGCTAAAATAACTCTTGTGCTTGTGATAACTCGGCAGGATCCTGTTATGTGTAACAGAATAATGCTGTATGCAAATTATAGTGTAATGCAATAATGTACAATTACAGCAGGATAATGAGTCATGTTTAGTCAATATGAATCGTCTTCTCTTCTTTCCACAGGTATTAAATGAAGAGTGCGATCAGAACTGGTATAAGGCAGAATTAAACGGCAAAGATGGTTTCATTCCTAAAAACTACATCGAGATGAAGGCGCATCCGTAAGTATACTAAGATACATTAGCCACCACGACCTGACTTCCGTTTACACCTCTTTCAAAGCACCATGAGATCATTCACGGCTTTAAAGGTGAAGTGTGTGTCATTTCTGTGCCACTAGTATCACCAAACTAAATGACGCACAGTTCCTCTTTTTCCACTTTGAGAAATATTGCTCGATTGTTTTTATTCAGAATAATTTTTCTTCTGAATTTTCTGTTTAAGTGATGAATCGTCAGAGTAATTTCCTTGGTGTACAGCTCTTTCAGGCTTACAGAGAATTGAATAAACTCAATCTAACCCCTCTCTGACATGACTTCACTTCCCTACTCTGGGAGAAACTCCTCTGCTCTGTTTCCCATCATTGCAGACATCTGTTTTACGAGTCTGTCGGTATTAATGAGGAGCTTTACTGTAATCATGTTTGGAAATCTTTGAACAGAGCTGTGTACAGCTGTTATAAAACAAGGGAGTGAGGGTCTCAAGTATTGCTCAAGAATTCAAATTGGCATCAGATGCAAAATGAAAGCCAAAGTGAAGAGATGGTGTTAGTTTATTACATCATTCAAAATGTACATCTTCATATTTATGAATCAGAATATCTCAAAATAACACACCGACCAGTGAATCAGTGTTTCCAAACCCTGCCATTCTGCCCTAGTGTCCGTTTCAAAATACACCAGCAGCCTTGACAAATGGATATTCCACAGTTTTTATATCTAATTTTATTTATTTTTTTATTTATATTTTTTATAGCAGTTGCAGGTATTTAGTACAAGTATTGCACTATTGTCTAAATGTTTTGGGACACTTATGCTCACCAAGGCTGCAATTATTTGATAAGAAATACAATAAACTAACAGAAACATTGCGAAATATTATTAAATTTTCAAATAACTGTTTCTATTGTAATATATTGTAAAATGTCATTTATTACTGTGATGCAAAGCTGAATTTTCAGCATCATTACTCCAGTCTTCAGTGTCACATGATCCTTCAGAAATCATTCTAATATACTGTTTTGCTGCTCAAGAAACATTTATTATCAATGTTGAAAACAGTTGTGCTGCTTAATATTTTTTTGGAACCTGTAATACTTTTTTCTTTGATTCTTTGATGAATAAACAGTTAAAAAGAAACCGCATTTATTCAAAATAGAAATCTATTCTTACAATATAAGTCTTTACTATCACTTTTGATCCATTTAACATCCTTGCTGAATAAAAGTATTAATTTATTTAAAAATTAAAAAAATTTATTTTAAATTTACTGACCCCAAACTTTTAAATAGTAGTGTATATTGTAACACAAAATGTCTATTTTGAATATACTTTTTATTTATCAAAGAATTCTGAAAAAAAGTATCACAGGCCCCAACAATATTAAGCAGTGCAACAGTTTCCAACATTGATTATAAATCGGCATATTAGAATAATTTCTGAAGGATCATGTGACACTGAAGACTGGAGTAATGACTAATACAAATTTAGTGCTGCATCAAAAAATAAATAAATTATATTTTAAAGTATATCAAAATAGAAAACTGTTATTTTAAATTGCAATAATATTTCACAAAATTACAGTTTTTCTGTATTTTTGATCAAATAAATGCAGCCCTTAAGGAGCATAAGAAACTTCTTTAGAAAACATAAAAAATATTACTGATCCCAAACTTTTGAACGGCAGTGTATATGGTTGATAATATATTAGCTTTCACAGCACACCAAGTGTACTTTACACTGTGTCAGCCTTGAGGCTGTTGTGTGAGCTCTAGTCTGAACACTTCAGTAATTACTTCTGGTCTCAGATCACAGATTCTCAGGTCTTTTCCTAATCCCTAATCTGCATTTTGCAGAATCTTTTATTTTCTGTCAGGCCCTGTCCAAAACCGCAGACAAACCACATAGAAAAATGCAGTTTAGCCGTTCGTCCACACGTAAACGCAGCACCAGGTCACTGAAAGTCACCTGCCAGGGTGAAGATTTTCAAAAAAGTTTTACAAAAAAGTTTTTGGCTTGTGACGTTGGAGCCTGCGCTGTTATCTCCGCCTACTGGAAACTTTTTCAGGCTTCTGATTGGCCAACATGACTTTACGGTTGAGATTATATCGCCACCTGTTGGTTTGGCATGCTCTTGACAGTGCTTCACAGCATGCGTTTGCAATTTCATGTGGACAGATTTTTTTTAAAACGGAAGAAGGAAAAACTCAGTTTATAAAAATACATGTGGACTAGGGGTGTGCAATATTGACAAAAAATTATATCTCGATATTTTCTGGGATTTTATCGATAACGATAATTAGATGATATTTTGCTGAGTGTGTTGTTGTGCTGGTACCTTAAGGACTGCCAAAGACAGCTGACTCCTAATGTTTTTAATATTCTTCATATTCTGTGTGGTGGTCAGTTCATACTGATAGAAATTAATCTTTTCCAATAAGTTTAAACTGATTTTTGCATTTTATGGGCATTTTTACCTTACCTTAGGCTTCACGTAATGTATGCGTGCGCTCTGTAGGGATGTTTTGATACCAGGCAGCTTGTTTGAGCTCAAAGTGTTTGTACGTGTGGATGGTTTGGTTTGGTTTGGTTTGGTTTGTTCCTCACTGGTCTCCATGCGAGTGAGTTTCATTATTGTCCTGTGTGCAGTAGCAAAGGCGGAAGGACGGACGAATGAATGAATTATTGACTAATATTTGCCTGAGAGAGAATTGAAACCCATGTAATGACACACAATGAGGCTCGAGAACATGATCCACCATTCAAAGTCCCTTTTCCTAAAATCAAAGTGTGTCAAGGTAAAAATCAAGTCGTCCTGGGTGGTTTCTTGCGGGTCCAAGCCAAAATAGCCGACCTTCATTTATTTATTTTACTTTTAATTGAATAATCACTTGCAGGTGGAAATATTTGAAGGCCGCATTCCATTGTTTTAATTTAGTTTGACATTTACAGTAATAAGTAATGTTTTAAATAAAAGAGCATTAATAATATTAGTTTTTCCTGTGGTGTGAGGCTCTTTGTTATGAATAGTTCCTCTCTTTAACAGATAATTGAATATTGATAATTTGCGTCACTGGAACTAATTGTCGTCAGCGTTTTTAGACTCAATTTTTGACAACCCAGAAAACAGCGCGGCTTTTGACCATCAGGTACACAAGACTGGCCAGGTTTATGGTAGGGGCCTCTTGTCAGGACAGGCGATGTAAATGGTGTCCACGTGTTTGAGCAGAGAGAGACGGTTGTCGAGCGGGATGCGGCAAGTGGAATTTGCCCTCGAGTGCTTTAATGCCACTTCCTGGTCACATGCTCTTTGTGTTTGTGTGTGTGTCTGTGGCTTGTGCCGTCCACATCAAAGCGGACAGGAGAGATTAGGCAGGTACAGCGGAGACAGTCTGTGGTTTTATTCCTGGCCTTACGTAACAGACCCTCTGGGAGCAGAACTGTATTATAATTTCACATGACGCACTGTTTCAAGCAAGTATAGAGTAAAATAATTTGCTTGATCTTTGATTAAACTGATGTCCATTATATATTTAATTTGATTTGAATGAAAATATGAGGGTTGGAATAATAGTCTGTTCAGTGTGACTTTTTAAGGTTATTGTATTTCTTTTCAGGTTATTATATTATATTGTATTCCACTTTGAATGAGCAGTAATTATGACACTGGATCTCTTCAATAAAACATTAATGCAGAAATTATTCTTATTTAAATCTTGTTTAATTAAAGTACAGCAATTTACAGCAAAATATATCATTTTTATATTTTAGTTTATTATTTATTATTTTTAATACACTGGAATTAATGGGGGGGGGGGTTGACTTTATGAATGAGCCATAATTATGACATCGGAGCTCATTAATGAAACAAGCAAAACTAAATAATTTTTGTACAACTATTTTTACATTTAAATCGTGTTTAATTTGAAAAAAAAAATTATGTATGTTGTAGTTTATCATTTTTAATCCACTTTTTTTTTTTTGATCAAGACTTTGTGATGGTAAATATGACATTGGATCGCATTAATAAAACAAGCAGAACTGTAAACTGTAAGTCATTTGTAAAACTCTTCTGACATTTAAATCTTGTTTAAATGAAATGCACCAATTTATATTTTTTTATTTTAGTCTATAATTTCTATTTCTTTTTTTTTCTTTTTTTGAATAAGCTGTAATTACGACATATCTCAATAATTAAACAAGCAGAACTGTAAATCATTTAAAAACTATTCTTACATTTAAATCTTGTTTAATAAAAATGAAACTATTTGCATACTTCCAATTAAATGTGAGCATCTGCTCCAAGGTCTGTAAGCACAGTGGTGACACTGGCTATCATTTATAATAGCACATAGTAATTGTTTCTCGTCTCTCTGGTAAATAAAGGCCTTTGGTTGTCAGGTTTGCTTAACCCAGTTCACCTCACCCTGCACACATCCACAAACACAGCCAGCCTTACTGACGTTCGACTTCAAATTTCAATTTCATTCAGTAGCCACATATATTGTTGGGTGGTTAGCTTGTAACCAGCTTTCTTTTTTCACATTTTTGCATGTTTTTGTTCCCATAGATGCTGTAATGAAGCATTCTGTGCTGATCATCTGAACTTCTGTGTTTTGCTGATCTTCTAAATGTAGCTGTTCTTCTGAGCTGATTTTTCTCTGCACTGCCTTTTTTTTTTTTTTTCTGTTGATTGTCTGTGCAATCATTATCTTTGCCAGTGTTAATTGCTCTCTTGGCTTTCCATCAGACAGAAAACTGGCATCTCATTTTCCTAAGCTGCTACTCTCAGCGCCAGTGCTTTGCAAAATATGTTTCCTCTTTCTATTCATCCACACTTCCATGTAAATCAGTGAAAATCATCTGATCTCTGTCCTCAGTATCACTTATATAATATCATGTCTTATATAATGGTAACGTTTATGTCGGTGTGTGTGTTCACAGGTGGTTCTTCGGGAGAATCCCCAGGGCCAGAGCGGAGGAGATCCTAAACAAACAGAGGCACGACGGAGCCTTCCTCATTAGAGAGAGCGAGAGCGCGCCTGGAGACTTCTCCCTTTCCGTCAAGTATGTTGACACACATTAAATCCACCTCTCCTTATTCCCAGAATAACTGCTGTATGCACGGCAGGCTTCATCAAGTCAGAGTCCTCACCTGCCCAAGATCCAGCTCGTGAGGCGTTCACATAGTGCTTCAGGTTCTACACCACATGTGTCAAACTCAAGGCCCGCGGGCCTATTCCGGCCCACCACATCATTTTATGTGGCCCTCGAGAGCATTGTCTTAAAATAAAAATCTATGCAGCTTTATATCGGAAATTATGAAAGTCCGTACCAATACCACAAGTTTCTGTTTCTATTTGGCGTTCTATTTATACGCAGAAATTGACTTTGGTGTGCATATGATACGCAATGGTTAGGATTAGGGGTGTGGGTTTTTTCTTTTGATGATGACTGCGTGGAAGGCTCAAAGGAATAAAGCGGACCTCATCAAGTGCTTGAGCACCACCGTAAAAACACGATATTCTCCTTTCATTTAACGAATTAAAAAAAATCGATTGCAGCTTTCAGACACGACTTCTTGTTTTAATAGTTAGTTTGAGACTGTTTCTATGGAGTTATTTTAATGACAAATGTCCAGAGCGCATATTACCTATGCGAGAGCGCAAATCTCTCGCAGGTGGATTCCCATTCATTCACTCTCACAGAAAACGGACGCGCTCTCTATCGGTCAGACATTACATGTGTGCGCTCAAAAATCTCCTCTCCCGAGTTTAATAAACGCAACCTGGAGTGTGGGCATCCACCGGCAGAAAATTGGCACATATATGCCAACGATGTAAATCAGTAGCCTATTTACATAGCATAACAGTAATAAATGTATCTGTTTCGCACATGTCCCGCATTGTCCCGTAAAATCACATTTACTGTCCTGCAATAGCCAGGTGGTCACCCTAGCGTAGAGTAATAAAATAATAATTACTAATTTAAATCAGTAAATTTTAACGAAAACCATACATTATAAAAATGAAAAGAAGCAGGTCTTTTGCGATCAGATAAACCAGTAAACTCCTAAGAAAGTCTAAGAATCCAGTAAGCGAATGCATTCAAACAGTAAGTTCAAAACAGCGCTAATGCAGAGAAAACATGGCCGATGTCACCAGAGATGGCGGAGATAATAGTACTCGCGTACAGATGTCAGTAAAAAAAAAAAATCAGCAAGCTATTTGGCATAAGCACGAGTGTTTTATACTGGATGCTGGCTGAAGGTGTTTTAATTTACGCAGTAGTGGTTTAGTAAATCTGGATCAGTCAGGTCAAGGTAGCTCGTTTAGTGGTCTTTTGGCGTCCCCCTGTGTTCCTGTTTGGTATCGCAGATCGACTTGTGCAATGCTGTAAACTACTAAATGTAATGTAGAAATCTTCATTTTTTTGTGAAGCTGCTTCGCAACAGTGTATCATGAAAAGTGCTATACAAATAAACGTGAATTGAATTGCAAACAATTATTAATGAATTCATTTATTTATTGTGGCACTATATACATTTATTGCGAATTATGAAAATTAAAAAGTTATTTTTTAGTACTTTAGTTTGTATTTATTTATTTTTGGGTAGGGGAGTGGGGTTGAGTACCAGCGCTTCTTTTTTTTTTTTTTTCTACTACAAGCATTGATTGTGTATCATACGCACACCAAACACGTGCGTATCATGTGCACGCCAAAGTAAATTTCTGCATATAAATCGCATGCCAAATAGAAACAGAAAATCGTGCTATTGATACACATTTTCATGAGACCGGACTCATGCCATATCTGTCACACGTTCTTAGCAACTCACAATTATTTGTTGTGCCATAAATGTAACAAAAAAAGTTTTTAACAAAGTTAATGTAATGACTTGTGTTTGATGATACTTGTCTTTATTATTTACTTTGATTTATAGAGTAATTTGCATTTCTTAACCTGATAAATTAAAAGGATTTATGTTAAAATAACAGCGCAATTACATATATTACATCTATGCAAATGCATGCAATATTTGTAACTTAAATAAGTATAATAAAATAAAGAGACATTTATTTATTTAGAGTAACATTTGTACAGTCTTACAGTTACAACTGGCCCTTTGATGGCAGCCATAATGTTGAAGTGGCCCTCAGTGAAAATGAGTTTGACACCCCTGTTCTACACCATTGAACAACCACTTAAACCATCAAAAACTCATATACATTTTTTGTTCTCTCTCTCTCTCTCTCTCTCTCTCTCTCTCTCTCTCTCCCCACACAATGGCTGCAATATAACAAAGAGTGAAAAATTTAAGGGGGTCTGTATACTTTCCGTACCCACTGTATATATATTAT